GACATGTTCTTCAAGATTCTGTTCCAATACATGAATGATTTATTGCCTGGTATTTTCTTCAGGTTGTAGCATATCTCTGAGAAGTGGCTCTTTTGCCACAATGAAGACTTTGTTGGTGGAAGACTAGACAGTTTTGTCTTTACTGATGAGGTTTTGGAAACTTCTGGAAATTTTTTGTTTTCACTAGTATGAGCAAGTTTTTTTTTTAAAAAAATGTTAAACGCTTCTGAATTCACTTCAAAAGGAGACCTGGCTGAAGTCAGATGTAAGGATACTTTCTCCTAGATAAAAGGAAATTGTTCATAACAGTTAAGGAATATAGTACCTGAGCGTAAGAATTTCAGTTGGGTGAGTCAAAGAGAAAGGCTTCACAGATCACAGAACCAGAACTGGGGAACAGAAAGTTAAGTTAACCTATACATTTGATAGGGATGAAAAATTTCTTTGGATTTTGATAAACTGTAAAGTGGTCATGTTGTGAAGTAAACGGGATTTTATTTTTCTTGATGCTTTGAGAATGTATATAACTGTTAATCAATGTTTGTAAAGATGGGAGAAGTGTTTGGAAAGGGATATCGTGCAAAGGCTTCAGGACCCTGGACAATCTTACAATGATCTTACAGAGCTGCACATCTCTGAGCATAAAAGTGCAAGTAGAGTTAGAACACGACCAGACTTGACCACGCTACACAAGACTGGAACCTCACAGAGTCGTGAGGGTACATGAACACACAAAGACAGATTAGTCCTCCTCTGCACTGCCCGACCACCAGAATATTCATGCCCCTGACTGCAAAGAGGCAAGCCAATTTTCCCTGATCTGCCATGTCTGTGGCTAATAAAACAAACCGTGCAGAGCAGTTCCGGACTGACAGCACTTGGACCAGGTGTACAACTCCCCTTTAAAGATGGCTCTAGCACCCAGGGTCCCAGGATGTCCTGGTAATCGTGAGTATCTCCGGCTAGGACAAGTGAAGTAAGATGAAAAGCAAAGTGCCCTAGGGCCACAGGTATTGACGGGACTTTGGGAAAGGTATAGAGTAAACCTTTTAGGCTTCATGGAGAGCAACCTGTTGTGAAATTCACCAAAAATGACCATCGATTTCTTGAAAGATTCCATTCAATAATAATGAACAAATAACATGAGAGGTACACTTCAACAGTGAAAATGAGAAAGAGCAGCAAATGTGAGGGTAGTTGTACTTTTTGATGAATTGTTATTGTGTGCTTTTGTCTCCCTTTTCTGACTTTCCTCTTTCCTGTTCTACTTCATGTCAGATGGTCACTCAAAACCCAGGAGTATATAGTGGGGAGGCCCTGGATTTCCCCAGTGACGATGCTGTCCCTAGCCCCCAGTATAAAGTGCCCCGTTTAAGCTCTGAAACTGCAATAGCGACACCAATTGCCTACACTATCCAGAGCTGTCAACAATCACCTGCAGCCTCACCCATTCTGCTCATCCTCTCCACTGATTATACCTTCCATCCTTTATCCTCAACAAATATCTCCTTTCCTGCTCTCATTGCAGAGCAACCAGAATTCCATTATCCCAGGGTCAATTCTCTCCCCCCACTGCTTCAGAGCAAATCAGCACTGGAAGAGTGTGAGGAAATACCATCTAGCGAGAGGTGTTGGCCTCCTATCCAGTCCAGAACAAAAATAGAGAGGGTCTTAGATTAGACAGTACATTGATCTACAATGTCAACGTATAACTCGATTCTAATGTCCAATTTGCATGCTGCCAATGCATGTAATAATGTCAAAATAAAAATGGTGAGGCAAATCATAAAAAAAAAGTCCCCCAAAGAATAAATATTGTTTCAAGAAAATGATGCTAACTGGGGCAGCTTAAAGTGAAGACTTACTGTAATTGGGTGGTCAGGTTGTTAAAATACCTGAGACAGTTCTTACAGAAAGGAAATAAGAAAGACTCAGCCTATTGTAAACATCAAAGATAAAAGTGAATCTTCACAATCTTTCCTTCCTCAGCAGATCACTTTCCTGTCTTCCCCTCCACGTCCCACCCCCCAACAATCTTCGAACAGCTGTTCGTTGCTCTTTAAATGATTAGTGTAAAACTTGCCTCCTCGCAGCCCATAAAATTAGAGTGAATCATCATGGGAAAGTGGTAGTATTTTTTGATACGTCTTCTGTTCTCCCTCTGCCCTCCCACTGAGCATTCAACAATGGCAGCTTGTTTGAAGGTGAGACATGTACTTTCGGAAAGTGCCCTGTGCCATCTAGGAAGAAGGTGGTGTCAGCTTTTACTTTAAGCTGCTTTAATGACTCTGTTAATTTTACCATTAGCTCAAAAGTGTTTAAATTAAGTTGCTCTGTGCATTTCAAGATTGCTTAGAGAATGATCAAATGAGCTAGATTTGAAGGCATTCCTGCTTTACACAGCTTTGAAACAATCAGTACTTAAAAGGGAGCTCCACCATGCATTGCAGAACTTAGTTAAAGAGTTAGTTAACGGTTAAAGAGCTAACGGTGTGGAATATTTGGGTTCCAATACAATTAGAAAAAGCACCAAACACAAGATAGTAAATGATATTTGATGTGCTTCTGCAATATTCAACATCACAAGTTGAATGCTAAGAGGGTTGACAATGATATTTGTGACCTTTCTGTAAAATCAATTGCACTATATTGCATTATAAAATCATCCACACAGACATAAGGAAAATTGGCTGGAGTTTAAAATGAGCCTCCCCAGTGAATCTTTTCACAAACTATTTATTGCAGCTTTTGTTGTTTTCATCAGATTGTGAGCTGCAGATGGCTTTCTTTCTCTCTCTCTCTGGTTTGTTACTGGTCCTGTTTGTGACAGAGGATTAAACTAATATCAGCTGTCAAACAAACCACGACTTCCTGTCATGGCAATATATGTGAAGAGAGATTACACTCTTTGTCATTTTAATATTGAATATTCATGTGTCTGTGTGCAGGGTTTCCTCTCAGTCTTTTCAGAAATAATAGGAAAGTAGAGACCTGTAAATATGTTGAGGTTGAGACTACTGTGAACTGCTAGCTATAGTCCTTTTAGCAGGACCTATGCTCTCGGCTTCAGTCCACCTGCTTTTGATGTATCCCTATCAATATTAAAACAAAATCCTTGCTGTCTCTGATCAAACACAATCGGAAGGACAATCACCACGTTTGTCAGAAGCCAAGTAGAATTTTCCAGTCTTCCTATGGGAACTCAGTGACATCAGGAACACAGTGGTTGCCTACAGATGACCAACTAGCAGACTGGATCAGTTGCAGGCCCCTCCCATAGTCACTGTAGACCTACCTAGCTCCAGCTGCAGCCCAGGCTACCCTGCGGAGGGATACAGTGTGGTCAGGGAACTGTGGCCATTTTTAATTTCAAATATTTCAAAAGTGTTCAGGGGGCACCTCAAGAATCAGGCTGCAACTCCTTCAGTCCAGGAGCCTCCTAATATCAACAACTTGCCCGCTGTTCCTAACTGGACAACACTCACGAACTATGGTCACTAAATAAAAACCAAAATAACTGCAAATGCTGGAAGTCAGAAACGAAAGCTGAAATTGCTGGAAAAGCTGTCCTCTGTTCTGAGGAAGGGTCACTGGACCTGAAATATCAACTCTGATTTCTGTCCACAGATGCTGCCAGACCTGCTGAGCTTTTCCAGCAATTTTTGTTCCTGTGATCACCAACTGTACCATTTTGCAAAAATCACTTTAGTGTGGGGTCGGGACTTGCATTTGATCCAGATGTGAAGGTCCTGATCCCAAACAGAAAATCCTGCCTCAAATCTCTGGCCTGTTATTCCAGACCAAACATTCTCCATCAGTTCAACCATGAAATGCTATTTTTGGAGGATAAGAAACTCAAATGAAAGGTTTAAGAAAAGTTGACACTGCATACGTATCCGATAAAAATGATCATGTACTAAAATGATTCCAGTTTAAGAGCTTGGCCACCTTTGATTCTATTTCAAAGAGATGGACTTTGCAAAAGAGCAAATCCAGTGGAAACATGATAGAAAGATGCCAGCAGCAATTGAAATAGTTTGGTGTTAATGAAACAATCACATTGATTATGGTAAGCACTTCTGACCATTTGACCCAGAAGAACAGGCTAGGAACTGCATATGGAGTCCAGGGTTCAAGTGCCACCTGCTCTAGAGGTGTGCGACCGCAAATCTGAACAGGCTGATTAAAAATATTTTTTTAAAGAAACAAACCTGCTCTTGAAGTTTGTGCCTCCTACATGCCAATTGAACACTTGCTCTCTGAATAAGAGCATTCATGATGTCTGTAACTGAAAAATAATCATGACGAGCTCCTTCTTTTGCTTTACAATTTGCTCTATATTGTAATAGTATCGAACAAATGGCTTCTTTGAATTTTCAACAAATGAATGCTGGCCTTACCCTCCATAAATCTATTTATTGGGGAGCTTATAAATGCTAACTTCTCAGCTGTCACTGCCAAAGACTATAACTGGCCAGTGAGTAATGCCTCTTGCAGTTCTGCCGACTGCCAAGTTATGCTGTGTTTACCAACTCTCCAATATAATCTTTCTTCTGTGGGGTGAGTTGACTTTGACAGTCACATGTGAAAAAATATTTTCAAATAACTTCATCCATCCTAGAATGCCTATGTAGTTCTACGCTGCCAGCAACAATCTGAAATGGTGGTTTTTCATCTTCCCACAGATTTTCTTTTGTTTGCCTTTGGGTTTTGCAAATGTATTACTTCAGCTGAGAATTCAACGTGTTAATGGTCTTTATATCTTGACTGCAAGAAGAATGACTAACGCTAGTTTTCCCCCATCACAATGAGCATCTATCTCCCTCCTGTGAGTTGTAAAAAGCAAGGCAAGCAATGCTTCCAGCACCTACTCACTTTAGGTGACAACAATTAATTAGCTGGAGAGGAAAAGTAGTATTAATTCTAACACTGGGCGGTGTGTCTGCAGTTGAAAAACACTGCTAACTAGGGAGCACTGGGTCTGTGGGTTTGGCACCTACCTTGGGAAACATTTGCTCAGTTTCTTCCTGCACTTTGCTTTGTTTGCTCACAAGATGGTTTATGTGCTGGAAGGTGGATAATCCTGGAAGTCCAGTCTGTGAGGATATGAATGAACACAAATGGTGATGAAAATATAGATGGGAAAAGAACTTTCAGCGATAATTGCTTACCTCCTTCGAGAGCTGCTCTGTCATAAATCACAGAACCTTACATTTCTCCCTTTGAAAGTTTCATACCCTCATCTAAACTCAAGTTCATAAAAAAGATTAAAATAACACGAGTGCATTGTTTCATAAAAGTGCTGAAGGAAAATAACCAGCACAAGAAAAAATGATAAAACACATTATTTTGATCTTCTCCAGTACATTTGGTTTTGATAAAGATGCATGTAGTTTTCGTGTCATTTTAGACGAAGAAGGCACTATCTGGTGTGGGACTTGGCATATAAAACAGAAGCTTGAAGATTCAATTCCTAATCAGTGCTGAGATAACTAGCACTAACTCGTTTGTATAATTAATCTCAGTGTTTTCGGACTAATGGCTCTTATGGTGCAGTTGTAATGTCCCTACCTCTGAGCCAAACGCCTGAGACAAGTGTCACCTGCTCCAGGAGGTGTGCAATAATATCTCTGAACAGGTTGTTTAGAAAAATATCTTCCTGGATTAACGGTGTGAGGATTCAGCCAGGATTCCCAATCCTGAATGATATCCAGTGGTTTTCAGTGAAAAACGTGTTTGTTATTAAACATCGAGTAAGAACAGGAATAGGTTCCACTGTGATGCCCCATACAGTTGAATAGGAACCGCTATTCAATGCCATGATACCAGAATGTGATGACAGTCAATACTGCCATAACATTCAAAAGGCAGAAAATTTTAATATTCAGTGTCAAAGATTCTTGGAGTATCTGCATTGAAACATTTTATAAATGTGCACTCCTAGCATGTAAAACTCTGCCCCTGGGAGGGTGGCAGAGGAATTTTCGCATGTCCATTTCATGAACGATATTATCTACTATACCTGTTCAACATTAAACCCTGCTGTGTCAAATTATAAGCCTTTAGATGTAGCAATGGGCACTATGTGGAGTTGTCTAAAAGTGAAGATAACCTTTTCACTAGTGGCTACCTTCCATTCAAACTAAATATAGAAAACACAGGTCATTGTAATTAAACTTCCACACACAGTAAACAAAACCATTACCACAGTAATTTATGCAGGCACCTAGTAATGAAGTTTATTTTGAATTTGGCATTAAGAATAAGTAACCCTTAATGCACTGCGATTTCCAGACACACTATACAAGATCGGAGAATGAATTCTATAAATCTACATTGCTGAAGGGATCCTCTCACACTCTGGCTGAGTGAATTTGAAACTTGGCTCATTTCCAATTTGTGTAACATGAAGGCTCCTTCCCACTCATATGCATAAATTAAGTAAATAAATATGTTTGCCTCATTCCTATACTGCTGCTCCCTCTCTCTCTTCTCTCCTCCCTCAATCTGAGTGGCCACACTGTATGACCAACATCAGGCTTGCATTTTCACCCAGTCAAGAGACTTTTGAAAATGGAGGGCATGTGCCAATTACAGGCTACTTGACCTAATTCCCTGGGTTTTTAGTTTCCACAAGGGCCTTGTGGGGAGTAGGGATTAGTTTGGGTGACGTCCCCATTCCTTAACATCTGACTCACTGACTCCATTGCAGAAATAGACATATCATTGCCATCCACAATTTTCATGTGTTCGGTCAGTTTTTAAAAGGACTTGACGTTTATGGCACCACAAAAAGGTGCCATGAGCAATGGTCTGGATGATGGAATCTTTTTGAAGGTATGTACAAAAGGTATTCCTCATGCCCCCCTTGCCAACTATGTGCTCATTCACCCCATAAGGCACTCATACTCCATACCAAGCTACATCCTCCACCCAGCCCTAATGACATTTCATACCCAAAATTTTAACTGATGGCATTTGCAGGCGTGTTTATCCATGAAAGCCTATTTGAACCAACTAACCTTATATGTAAATTTCTTTTACAAAAATAGTTATTCATGCATTGTTTCCAAATTATTGATGAAAAAGATTTCCTTTTACTTCAGACCAATAAAATTGTCAATAGTTCAGATGCTTTAATGTATCAATAGTAGAAACTGAGAGGTCTTAAACAGCTTAACCTTGCAAAAGTACTCATTGTGCAATTGACTGTACAAATCAAAAAGCCAGAGCTATCAACCAAGCAACATTTTCCTTAGGAACTCAAGTGTTTCAACAGGACAATACACTTCTAGATTCTCAGTGGAACTTTTTTATGCATTTTTGGCTAATAGCCCAGATATCTATTAGAGTGCTGGTACAGCTAGAACCCTGGGAAACATTGTTTGTTTGGAACCCTGCGTTCACTGTCCTGTGCTATCAGTTGCATTATGTTGATTTGCACAAAATTACAAGCCTTCAAATGCTTGTTGTTTCGGCTATTTGATACTTTTATCGGCTGTTCATGGGGGTGGGGCAAGTAATGAATGAATATTGTTTTTTTGAAAAGCTTTTTTTTAAAATAACTGTGTTGTTACTGTAGAGTTCATTACATCATATATTGAGTAGATGGACGTGGAAGTGCTAATAGGTTAGCATAAGAAAATAAGTGAAGCTGGGAGTTGGCAAGGGGCATAGCTTGACATGGATGGGGCATGAGGGGTTTGTTGTTGGGTGAGGGGAATAAGGAATCATGAGGGGTAGTTGGAAAGGCCCGGGGAGTGTGTAGGAGGTGGTTGGTGAGGCCTAGATAACCTTATTGTTTTTATTATGACTGGGAAGAAGTCATACAGCTCCAAAGCAGGCCTTTTAAACAGCTCATTTCTGTACCCAGCCCTTTTTTTGGGTTGGCTAGTGTGAGGACCACATATACATTACTTGAAATATAAATTGGAAAAGGGAATTTTGGACTGTGATGTTTCAGATAAAGACCACTTTTTATATTAATATTATACATATATAAACATGCTGCCAAAGTCGAATTGAATATCATTCATTCATTCACTGGTTACACAAGAGCATCTTTTAGAGAAACTGGATTTGATACTTTTGTAAAGCTAGCTATGACTCTAATCAGCAAAGACTTTGCCCCTGATTCCCATTGGCTCCAATATTGTTCAGGCTCCCAAATACCACACTTGGCCAATGACTTCCTTGATATCAAGGGCAATAACTTCACTTCCCCTCTGGGGTTCAGCTCTTTTACCCATGTCCAGACTAAGGCTGTAATGAAGCAGTTGCAGAGTAGAGCTTGTGAAACCCAAACTGGACATCAATGAGCAGGTTATTGTTGAGAAATTGTCACTTGATAGCACTGTTGATGGCACCTTCCGTCACTTCACTGATGATTGAGAATATGTTCATGGCTGATTTTGCGTATCAACTCCACTTTTCCATGCATTCCTGACATCATTTGATTTATTGAGAGATCAAAAATAGGTCTCCTTCAGTCTTAAATATATTCAATGATGGAGTATTCACAAACCTCTGGTGGTAGAAAATTCTAAAGATTCACAACTTTTTAAATGAAGTAATTTCTCCTCATCTCCGTTCTAAACGATCAACCTGTAGTCTGGAAACGATGGCTCTTTGTTTTCTAAATTTCTAGACAGGTGAATTACCCTCTAAGTAGCTGTTGCATCTGGTCACAATCTTGGATGTTTCAATGAGATCACCTCCCATTCTTCCAAACTCCAGAAAATACAGATGCTGGAATTAATCTAGTAAATTTATGGTGTAGTGCCTCTAATGCACGTATATTCTTCCTTAAATATGGAGATCAAAATTGCACACAGTACTCCAGGTTAGTGGTTTCACTAAAGTACCGTCCGATTGTAGGAAGGTTTATTTATTCTTGTACCGCAATCCCCTTTGCAATAAAGGCCAATATTACCTTTGTTTTCTTAGATGCTTGCTGTATCTTGATTCTCACCATTTCTTTTCCTTACATGAATACACCCAAGTCTCTGTGAACATCAACATTTCATGCCTTTTAGAAATTTGGCTTTTCCAAACGTACAACCAAAGTGAATAACCTCACATATCTCCACATTATTTATCATCTGCTGCAATGTTGCCCACTCACTTAACCTGTCTATATCTCTTTACACCCTCATTGTGTCTTCCTCACAACAGACATTCCCTATCTTTCAATCATCAACTAACTTAGACACATTTCTCTCTATCTCCTGGACTAGATATTTTTAATCAACTTGTTATGACTCACCTCTGCAACAGGTGGGACTTGGTCTCTCTCCTGCTCCAAGTCGTTAATATAGATTGTAAATCACTACTGGCTTCAGAACTGATCCTGTGACACTTCTCTAGTCACTGTGGCAATTGATCATTCATCAATCAGGCAAGGTGCCATTTGAAGAACTGCTCCCACTTCCAGCAAAATGTATTATTGTTAAGATGAGGGATGGAGATTTTTAAAACTGCATTTCTCCTCAATGCTGTTCCATTTCCCCTTCTCCAAACTTTCAAGAAAATCTCTGTCCTCGCAGACCCAGGAATTTCAAATCCTCAATGTCATATTTGAGAAGTGCTGCTCGATGAATTGTGTGGTTGATTATGTGGTCCATAGCAAGCATGAGCTTGTTATAGCTCACATACTAAACACCTCAGTCTAGCCGCAGAGAGCATACTGATGAAACACGGGCTGCAAGTATCCTTGCTGTAAATGGAAAAAAGACTCTGCACCTTTTCAATTTGCACTACACCAAACCATGAAATACCATATTCAAGGAACTAATTTTATTTCAAGTTAAAGAAAGGTGCACAAAATATATATTTAAATTAGTATAAATTGCAGACGTACGGAAAACAATCAGATAAAAAAATTCTTGAAAAGGTCCTGTAATCATTGCAAACAAAAACTTAGCCTATTCCCCTTTAAGATCTCCAACACCAATCAAATCATTTAACAATACACATTGCTGCAATATGTTGCCATGTTTGAATCTTTTGAGCATTAATACAGCTACAATTTTCACAGCTAATAATTCTAAACACCAGCTCCTTATATTCTAGTTTTCCCATATACTGCTAAAACTAG